CTGTTCTCTAACACAATCCAATCTGCCTGCACTTTTCTATTTCTGGATACAGCAGTGATAACGTTAACAGCAGACTTAACTTCTCAACTTGCAAACATACATACATTAGGGGCACATGCTATCTCCTGCTGCACTGAAAGATAACGAGAGTATGTTCTCACAGTGCCACAGAAATAACAAGCTGCTGTTCTCCCTGCAGTCAGATGTTAAAACATCTAATCCAATTCGCAATGAGTGTCAGGAACACAGCATGTTTGAAAATATTTGTATTACAGATACATAATACAAATACCTGTTGTATTATAAATCCTCTGCATCACTGAGATATTGCAGGGGTGTTATAAATGCTATGAAGTTGGAAAATCTGCCTATAGGTGATTACTCCCATGCGTGGGCAAGATTTTTTATTTTTATTTTTCACATGTGATGTAGTCATGTGGAACATTGTCTTCCTAAAGCCTTGCTGTAGTGAAACACAGAGAACAGGGAGAGAGATAGAAAGAACAATTCTAGTGCTCAACATGATGTTGCTGGTCTAGGATGGTCACAGAAGTCACCTGCAGCTGAATGTGCTGCAAAACACTTCTGAAACAGCAGTAAATTCTGTCATAGCTTTAGGTGGTTGGAAGAAAAAATTAATTCAACAACCATATTTTAAAAAGTAATACCCTGAGTATTACAAAGGAGATAATGTTCACTTTGCTATATGTATTAATTGCAAAAAGGGAGATTAATATACTTTTAAGCACAAGAATATCAATAGAAGAAACAACCTTCACAGAGAACATTTAATATCTTGAAGTAGAATATATAAAACTTACACAGTACTGTAGAAACAGCTTGTGCTGGCTATTTTTCCTTAAAGAATACTTCCACTGAAAGGTTACTACTTTATAGTGTTACCCATACATGAACGCAACATTAGACAAAGGGGTTTTTAATCTCAGTGAAAGGCTTTCACCTCTTGCCCTCAGCACTTGCCTGCCTCTGGGGAAACTGAAATATTTCAAGTGCCATGAGCAGCTCCACCATGGCCAGATGCTCAGTGCCCAGAGCTGAAGACTGAGGGATAACTTTGGCTCATAGCTGTGCACAGGAGCTACCCCAGACTAGTAGGAATATTACCCTCTGGCCACATCCACATCTTGAAAACTGTGGTCCACTTACAGGGTGTCCTCTGGGGCAATTGCTGTGCAATTAACTTAGTAACTGTTAGTTCACAGAGGAGATATTCAAGCCCCTGTGCCTTTAAAATGGTTTTGGCTTTTAAAACGTCCAGCCATATCTCAAAATCACATTTACAGAAGTGCTTATAAAACTTGTGCTATTGATACCTCCAGATTCTGTTCTCATTTCAGAAAATAAAATGCATCTAATCAGGAAAGCCACAACAGCCAGCCACAGGAGTCATTTTGGCTTACTCTGCCTTTGTTTATGCATTTTTGGCACAAACCATCACTCCACAATTCCATCAATTTAAATTATTGATTATCACTAAACGTTGTGGTTTCTTTGGCCTCATCCCTTCTTCAAATCTCAATTCCCATTTCTCACTTTTACTGTTTTTGAAATCTCTAATATTTCTGATGGTCACAGTTTTGCAATCCTAAAATCTGTATTAATTATAATTAATTTTTTCTAGACTACCTTGTGCAATTTAATAAGCTTCAGTGAAAGAAGTTCTGGTGAAATGTGAAAGCTGGAAAACTTGTCTCTGCAGAAAGGACTAGATATCTCTTGGGACCCACTTCGGAGCTCAAAATAGGAATTAAGTGGAATTTAGCAGCACATGTGCTGCTGTAATGGCTCTCTCACCTATGAGGCTGGGTGTCACCCTGGCCCAACAGAAATGTAGTTCAGTTTAAGGAGCAGGGAGGCAGATGTGTAACCCTGGCTAGGAACTCGCAGTGTGTTGCAGTGAAAACACTGCCAGAGGAACCAGCATAAGGCCAGAGGAACTAAGCAGAGACAGCAGTTTGCAATGCAAAGGATTAAATAAGTGCAGAAAGTTGCTCCTTACAGAGAATTAATACAATGTGTTACAACAACATGCTCAGAACTGCCCTGATGAGATGCATCACGAAGGTAAGGTACTTTCAGTCAATGTTCCTTGTCCACTTAAATTAACAAGACCTAGTTAGCAGAGAGTAAGAAGGTGAAAACTTGGCAGAGAGTAAGTAGGTGCAAAGGTCTTTCTCCTTCTACGTTGAAAAGACATTTTTTTCCTCTCAGTTATAATTTAGATACAACTGTAAAATGTACAAATGTGATTTTCCAATTGCATTTCTTCCCCTCCCTCTTGCCACAATTCCTGATCGGTGTTCCCGAGAATGCTCTGAACAGCCTGGTTCCCCCATGCTGACAGCACTGGGCTCGTGTATCCAAGCAAAGAGCATATCTCAAACTGCATTTCTGTGGGGGGCTCTCCTTCTCTGTCCCAGACTGCAGGACTCTCACACTCCAAGAGAGGCATTCAGCCATTTTCTACGCCCTGTCTAGAGCTTTAAAGAGTTTAAAGACTTTAAAACCTGTTCCTGTATTTCAGAAGTCATCCCCCGCTACCTTTTTTTATACGTTCAGATCTATGATACTAAGGTGAATTGGATGAGGATTTCTGAAGTCACTGAGAAACTCCTCTTGACTACAAAAATAAATTTGCTAGACATTTGATTTAACATGTGGGAAAAAAGTCAATAATATAAGAATTTTAATTAAATCTATAATTGTTGATCTCAATACCGTAACAACCTATAAAAAGACAATATTTTGAATTCTAAGATGCAAGAATTTCTCCTCTCCTAAATTCATAAAACTGAACCTAAATTGTACATTTTGTTTTCCATGACATGAACAGAATAATGGATTTACATTGAACCAGCATCAATGCGGAAAGTTGCTTTTAAAATTTAAGAAGGAAATTATTCTCTCAAGTAGCTCAGATCTGACACCTTAAACTTCTCCTAAAATAAAATACTTCTGCCATTACAAGACTGCTTGCATCACTTATGTCTACACGAGTTCTAGTGAAGCTGGGAGATCCATATGAAATCAAAGTGATAGAACCTGATCATATTTTCATGACAGAAAACATTCAGCTTGAAAATACCATGATGTCCTAGGAACTCACTGATTTACTCTGAGTTTTGCAGGAAGTGCAAAAGAAAGCACCTTTTCCAGCATTCCACCATAGCATCAGCTATTCAAATTATTATGTAATCAAGCATTAGCCTGTTTCTTACACACCAAAGTGACCCTGTTTCCAAGACAAACTGGAAATATTCATGAAAAGCAGTATTTTAAACTTCAAAAATTACTTTTTCCAATGCCTCTCTCTAATTAATTTAAACGTTTCTAGAGAGCAAATATTGAAGAGATGACTCTTTCAAGTAATACCATAGTTTGAAAATACTTGTTTCATTGTTAGCTTATAGAAACGACTTTATCATTTTACAAGAACAAAAAAGTATATGCAAATGTGACATGAAGAAAACCAACGAGAACCTTTCAAATAAGTATCAATCACTTAATGTTTCTTAAAAAATAGGCAAAATGATAGAATCAGAGGATATTTTGTGTGGGAAGGGACTTTCAAAGGTCTTTTAGTCCCAACTGTAAGGCTTTTAATAAGAGAGAAAACTGCAAAGCCCTAGCATGTTTTGGTCACAGAGATTTTCAAGGAAACTCTATCCTGTTGAAGTGAGCTGCTGAACTGTGTACTGAAGACTGTGGAAATTGCACAGAAATGATAATATATACTTGAATATATACTTGACCAAGGACTTTGTCAAACTGAGAAGACACCAAGACAATTGCTGTGTCTGTAAGCGAGTCTTTCTACAGGCATCCTTCGATCAGCATGAGCATACTCAGAGTGAAATTTAGCTTTTATATCTAGCAGATCTTTAAAATTGTATTTTCTTCTGATACTAATATTCTACCAATACCATTAACTAGCCAGCTAGTAATTTTTAATTGATGAATATTATAAATCATCAACCTGAGAGCATCCTTTTGGCAGCCTCAAAACATTCAGAAAAAAATTAGATGTTTATATCCAGTAAAATACTGCAAAATGCAGTGTATCATTGATGAGCTGAAGCAAAAAAGTTGTTTAGTGACAGCAGAAGTAATGAAGCTTGGGTTCCCACACACACCTCCACAATACTTTCAGCTCTCTCCCATTTTCCCTACACACCACATGCTCTGTACCCTCAGCTCCCCTCCCCGAACTTCCCTTCCCTTTCCATGAGCTGAACAGGAGTGAGCATTTGTTTGCTCTGCTGCAGAGTTAAAGTTGTGCTCCTCAGCTGGATGGATGCTGCCTTCCAGATGCCAGAAGAGGCCAGAGAGTTCTCTACATGTCCCCCACTGGCCCCTCCAGCCCCCAGGAAGTTCTGCTTTAATCACTCTGTGCTTCTGAGACCTCTGCAAGGCGGGTTTAAATCGGCCCCTGAAGTTCCTGAGAAGCACAACTAACAGATGGAAAGTGGGATTGCATAAATCTTGTCTTAGGAAATAAACCTAAGAAATCAGAGCTGTTATACAAAGACTGTCCGTACGCTTTAATACTCAGCAGCTTGTTTAAATATAAGCTGATGCCATGAAAAGCAATGCAAACATTTATTCAGAAAATTTTCAAATCATCATTGTCACTAAGCACTGGTTGAAGTTATTAAGCAGTTATGAGTACAGGCTTTTGTGTCACGCACATGCAGAACCAGTGGCACAAATAAATTTGTAAATAAATACTGCACTTACAACAAAGGACTTTAGCGATCAGTGATTAAAATATTGCAAACATTTATAAATTCATATGCAGTTAGACAAATTATTTTCAAAAATCTGACATCTTCTGTATTTTGCCCCATAGCAAAAAAATATATTAAAAAAATTAAAGTATCTCAGTGGTTTAATACCCTATAAAACGGATATCTGAATGCAATTGAAGTTTCAAAAAACTTTTCCTCCTGTCCTTTTACACCTCTTTTTTTTTTTTCCTGTGTGGCAACTCCACACCAGGGATCCTGGGAAGCAAATAGCAGAATTTGCCCTTTCAAGTTTATGAATTCCTAGGCTTTTATACTGCTATTTGAAAACTGAATAAAAAACATTAGCAGCAAATATATATTTCACTCATGCTAAAAATATAAATTCAGGTAAATTTGGGTAAATTGGAAAAAGGCAGGGTTCTCTGCATAGAGGGTGAGGTAAGGACAAAATGTCCTTACACTTTCTGACAGTTACTGAAGTTTCCATACTTCAGAATTTCTGTGTTACAATAACTATTGGTGGCGAAAATATATCAGTGGTTATGCAGTAAGTAATCTTTTATTTAATCCTACTATAACATTTTAATGGACTTGAACACATCAGGGGTCAACATGTTGCAAGGGACATTCTGTTACCTGGAAATTTAGAAAAATATACCCATAAAGCAGTTAACTGAATTTCTAGTCAGTTATACAAGTTGAATCCACTTTTGATGCAACAACTGCCATTCAAAGACTATCATCAACATTAATCTTAATTATTCATGCCAACAATATGAAAGTTCTCAAGCTATATCTCTTCTTTAGTCTTCCTGATTACTTTTCTCCTAGATATTTAAACAATTTGTTTTTGCAATTAGATAATGTCTGAGGACTAGTACTGCTAAAAAAATTTGCAACCACAACTTCCAGTAAAGTGCTTCTGAACAAGAAGTAACTACAGCCAAAATTCACAGTAGCAAAGCAAAATAGACTTCCCTTCATGACATATCTGGAGACTAGAATAAAAACTGAGAAACTGAAACAGAATAATCATCAACTATCACGCTGAAAAAAGGGTTGATCAAATACTGAGGGATCCATGTACATGGCTGAATTCCTTTTCACTCCTTTCCATCTGTGTTTCACTTCACCTATCCTGCTTGTTTGCTGCTTCTGTTTACAAGGGCTGTACATCCACAGCACCACTCCCAATGATTCCCTTACCCTGTCAAACAATAACTTCTTCCTCTGGTCTAACAGGACCTCTATGATCGTACTAAAGAGAATTTGGACTTCTTTATCATGTGATATGAGAGAAAAGCTTCCTTTTACTCTATAGACCAGATAAACACAGCTTCTCCTTGATGACATTATTTGACAACCAGCAGACAGAAAGATGAAAATGTTGCAAGGGAACATGTACATTAGATGTGCTATGTTTCAATATCAGATTGGTTTTCTTGAGGAAAACAGTATTTTCCAATTTGATTTGTTTTTTCATTTTACAGCAACTTTTTTCCACCAAAATAATCTATGTTCTGATTTCTCCCCACCTATAATAATATTGGGATTGTCAGAGAATCTCAATGCATATTGTTTAGCAGAACTCTTAATAATTGCTTGTATATAAATTAAAACATAAAGACTTAAGTTTTTTACTATATTAATTAGATAAGAAAAGACTAAAGGCAGCTATAGCTATGCTTAAACTCAATGATTGTAAGGGGTTTTTCCAAGCTAAATGGCTCTGTGATTCTATTAGTAGCTGATTTCTACTAGTCTGAACATCCATGCCAAAAATAATTCCAGTGGAATTGTACGTAGTATTTGTACCCTTTCCTGCTTCATGGCACACTTCCTGTAAGACCCACTCTTGTGTTACTTCCCCCACAAACATAAGAGCATAGTCTAACTGGAGTAAAAAGAAGTTGTTTAAAAAGACAAGTTGTCTGTAAGAGGAGAGCAGAATGGATATTAGCAATAACTAATCAGTTTCCCATGTGGAGATCCCTAAATAACCCAGGAATAGCAATGATCCAAATCTGATTTCCTTCTAGAAAAAAACTGTGGAGCAGCTGTTACACAAGACAATGCCTCTGACTTCTCTCAGAACAACTCTGGAAAGCTACTGTTATGATTAAGGTACTCTTCTTTTACTGCAATTTCATTCAAATATCTCATAAATGTTATAGAAAGAAGCAAGCTTGAGCCAAACATTCACCTTAAATCTATGTTTATGTTAATTTTATTTTAATCTCCATCCTTTATTTTATACAGCGTAAAAAGAAAAAGCACATCCATTAGAACTCTAAAAATAATATTTGTCATCTATTTAAATTATATTCCACAGCTGTAGTGGGATGTCTGCTACTAAAGCTCCCTGGCCCCAGATACACATACCTGGTCAAATGCTGCCAAACCAAGATCTATGAATGTGTTACAACCTAACCCAAACAAAAATAATAGAGAGTACAATGTTTGTGTCTGTAGAGAGAATGTACTTCAAGCTACTGCCAGCAGAGAGTCCCATTGCTTTCATATTGCGAAGAAAACAATTTAGCAAAATCCCCAAAATCGCGGAACAAACAGCAAGCCACTTCTAACTACTTTAATAGTAGTTAGTTTAATAGACCCACCTGCAAGTGTTTTCCCTCCCCTTTAAATAATTTTTTACAGTTCTTCCAAACTGTAAGTCAAGCTAGTATGTTTCAAAAAAGGAAGCTCAAAAGTATGGTTTGGACTTCCACAAAAAGGCCGGCACATTTCTCAACAACATTTCAGCTTGGCTAAATGAGAACAAAGTGAAACAGTTTAACTGTAATTAAATTAACTCGCAAGCCAGCCTCTACATCGCATTGTAAAATTAAAGGGCTCCCGAGCATCTGGCCTGCACTCCTACTACATATGCTTACCCCAGGAGCAATGTGCTTAGTTTGAGGAGACATCAGGCGTCTGTCAAGCATGTCAGCCTCGCTCCAAGCAGGCCAGCCCTTCCAGCAGCAGCAACACTTCTTACGGGAGCAAAGCCTCCGACGCAAAGCAGCGCTCCAGCGAAAACTCCAGCCCCTCAGCCCACATGGACCATTCCTGCAAATACCTGCACTTCTAAGGCCTGGTTCAAAGGGCCCAGCTTTAGTCTGCACGGAGCAAGACTGTTTGCTGGCCGTTTCTCTCAGCTGTTGATCTGATTCAGTCCCTACGTTAGGGACAGCTCAGCAGAGAGCCTGTCACCATCAATTACCAAGGAGGAGTGGGAGGGCTCCGTGCTCATGGTGACGCCAGCTGCTGTAAGGACAAAGCCTGCACACTTGCTGGAGTAACATCACACTTTATTCCTCTCACATGTGTGCCTTGCAACATGCATGGCCCCCTGGTAACACACAGCTGCTGTGCAGCCACAAACAGGAAAGGCATCTGAGCATTAGCACCGCATCTACCAATCTACTGATGCCTGTGGATACAGATATTTCATTTGTTCTCCCCCATCCACAGAAATATTATGGTGGAATTTCAAGCTGTAAATATAGTTTAAAGTTGGAAATTTCCTGTGTAAATGGAAAATTCTGCTTGACTATATTTAAGGTAGAAGACCTATTATGGTAGAAGATACATATAAATGAGCCTTAATCATGATTTTTATATAAACTATCATCCTAAAAAACTCTCACTAGACACTTCGTCATGGCAATACTTCTATATATTAGCCAGTCTACTGAAATCATCAGGAAAACTTACATGCATAATATTATTGGCCCTAATGAGTTTAAGAATTTGCAAGATTAAGGTCAACTGGCTTAAAATAAGAGCATAGGTTAGAAGTAATTAAGGACAAAAGACACATGTTTGTATTGGTCTGAGGTTTCTGGAGTAATAAAGAGCAGAAAGGAGCAGGCAGCCACAGGCAAGGAATGGTACAAACAGATGAAGAGCTCCAGAGAAGCCACTTTCTCCCTGTGTTACCACGGAGATAATGAATATCAAGGCAGTGATTCCTCAGAGGAGCAACGAGCACAAACATTGTTTTGGCTCCAGCTGCTCAATGAGCTGGGCAATCTTCTCCTCTGCCTGAGCCTCAAGACTGGTCTTCAGTGAGCATGCGAGGCAAGCAAAGCCCCACAAAGTGCAGCCTCTGGCCCATGAGAGCTGGAAACATTGTCTATTTTCAAAGGCTAAACTCTTCATACTGACTTTGTGGGTAGACTCTTTAAAGTCAACAGTACTTGGGGAGGGAAGGGCAGACCCTACCTACATGTCTCATAATAAGTATCAAACCAGATTTTTTTTTTTTCCTATTAAACAAGGGCCTCAGACTGGCTTCCATTTTCATTAACTGGTTCCTAATACTTTTCACACAGACATATTTAAGGTGTACCAAGACTGATCGATACAAAGTTAACCTCTTAAAATGTAATTTCCTATTTATATTATTCGCATACCATATTGTTAAAAAATTCTCTGTCACTGAAAAAAGAAGTGATTTTTGGTTAATACCTGATCAGGTGGTTGCTTGTTTGCAGGGTTTTCTGTGATTTTTGGTTAATGACTGATCAGGTGGTTGCTTGTTTGCAGGGTTTTCTGTGATTTTTTTTTTTTCTTTTTTAAGTGGACTATGGGAATGCAGGATTCTTAACATTTTACCACTGTTTCAGAATTCAGTATTCATGTTAGGTCCACTTTGGATGCCAAAAGAGAATTAAATAAGTAGAAACTTTGTCCTTATTTCTCATGAAATAGACATTTATATTTACCTGAAATAGATTGAGCGAAGAAAAATACACAGAACATTGACAACCTCTTGCACAATTTATTTTGACTTCTGTAAGGCACTTCTAGGATGAGTATTAAACTCAAAATGTTGAAACAACTACTGGTTTCCAAGGAAGCAAACAGTAAACTTCAATGAATACAATTTTAGAAGGCTGTGAGAAGTATAGCAATTTCTGATGCAATACTGTATTAATAATGTTGGGGGGTTAAGCTTAAAACTACTGAGCAAGCTTTTTAGCAAACTTATTATCCTTAAAAAGTTTAATACATGCTGTGGGACACAAATACCTTGGGGCAAATCAGAACTATTCTGAAGAATACACAATCACAGTCCCAGCTGGAATATTGCAATTAGGACAGAGCAGCTCTCATTCCAGAGGCTTATTTTCTGCCCTTCAGCAGATTTTATAGAATACTGAAACTAAGCTTGCAAGACCGCACTGTCATCATGGCAAATTGTGGTATCATAATATTGAAACAAAATAACTTTGTAGTAGAAAACACAGTAATGAGATAATTTTAAATGTAGAGACAGCAATAGAAAAATTTGCCTGTACCAATCTTAGTTTCTACAGCTCCCTAAATCTTTCAGTCATAGAATAGAATTTCCTCTTTTTATTCTTTTTTTTTCTTTTTTTATCTTCTGAGCAGCAAACAGCATGGAACCAATATGCAGTAAGTGCTAGATGACTTCCACCCTTTTTTGCCCCCCAAAAAAGGGTGAATCATCACCTAAGAAGTGCCAGATTTGTTTAAAAGTATCTGCTATGTAACCTGACAAATTAGATGCTTTAGAACAAAGACCTTCAACCCCTTACAGAAAAACACATCTTTACTAAGAGAACAGGAACACAATTAATTCAGCAATTACTATTCTAATTCATTCTTTAATCTCGTATAGTTCTAATGGAGATGTAGCCTCAACTTTAAATCTTAATACTCTATATTTACACAGTGATTTCATCAGAAGTCTCAATTAATTTTAAACACAACTTTATAAAATTTTACTATGTTTGGACTATAAATGCCATTAAGCACATGAGAAAACCGAAGTACTAATTAACTAAGTAGTAACATACTAACAGGAGCTTGCTTGTAAATGTTTAAGCTCCTTAGGTTTTGTCTTTTTGTGTAACAAAGCAAGACGAATGTCTGTCTATAAAAGTTCTTGTTGATAAACCAGATCAAAAAAGTGTTTTTAAGAGTTCACACAGTCATTAACTCAGAACTGGTAAAACCTTAAGACATATGAGTAATTTTTCTCATCTCCAAGTTATTGTGCATCAGCTGATCCATATGTGGACATGTGGGCATGCTTAGCATATGGCAAACAAATTAAGGCAATTTATTGTAATTCTGCCTCATTATGAATTATGTTATCTGACATTTGCTGATGAGTATATACATGAACATGGCAACTCATAAATCTGAATATTTAAGTCCAATACCTATATATATATACTGGAAGATTTTTCAGTTTTGCCTTTCTTTCCCATTTTAAAGGCAGGTAATGCATTTGTTTTTCTTCAGTTACTTCAGATATCACATTTACTTTTATTCAGTCATCAAGTATCAGTCTCACACGAATTCTCAAAACATAACTTCATGTTTGTGAGCTGCCTCAGTTGGCCCTTTAGGTATTCAAGAACCCCATACAAAGAGCTCAGGTTAACTACAACTCAAGCTATTCCCTTTTCCTATGTGAAGGTGAATATTTATCCCTTCGCCATTCCTATAAGTGACACATATTATCAGCTCTTCTCACCTGGCAAAAGTCAGCTTTAGAGGAGTTTTCTTTCCCCTTTTAGAAGACCCAAAGCCTTTCCAAAAGATACCAAGGTATTAAAATCCCTCATTTATTTATCACAAGACAGCAGAACACTGTATATGTCTATGTGAAGTTGATATATATGAATTTTGACATATATAAATCTAGATCAACAAAATCTAAAAATTTTTGTTGAGAGATAAAAAATTAGTCAAAGCTCACACAGAGACAACAATTCATAAACAAACAGACCAGATTCAGACTCTTAAATTGTTCCAACAGCTTGTCAACAGAAAACACACAAACCCACCCAAGCCCTGTCAGCAGGAGAGCGCTCAGCTCCCCAGCACATGTCAGAGCTCACAAAGGTTTCTCAGGCTCATCCTTTCCCTCTCAGACCTGTACCAAAGGGCAGTTTGCTTCCTGTTGTGCATGCTGGCTGACACAGCAGGGCCCAGGTGAGGATCCTTTAGGATCCCTCTCTGATCACCTACCCAGTACACTCTGCTCTCTTTGAGTAAAAAACACAAGCAGGGTCTCCTGCCTCTAAGGAAAAGTTTGTTCTGGATTTAACATCAATCTCTTGCTTTTCTTTCTGTGATCAATGAAAAGTAAACTATTTTCTGTAACTGGGAGAGGGCAGAAGATAAAAAAAAATGTCACAGAATAAAGAAGAAAATTATGTAACCCCCAAATATTGTTAAATAGGTTTTAAGGTTTGAAACGGGTGACTACACAAGCCTGCAGAGTTACTGGTTATAACAGACAGGGAAAAGACTGGAAAGCTTTTTCTAATAAGGGTAATCTGACTTGGTTAGATACCTACTAGAACAAAAAAAGAACAAAAAAGTTCACAGTTGTGTTTTACAGCTGAAAAGCACAACAAGAGTGTCTGCCTTACCAAGAACTACCTTGATTTTCCTCACTTTTGACCAGCTAACTTGCAGAAAATGTCTTGCAAATTGTTGCTCCTGAAACCATCAACTACATCTGAGAGTGGATTATTGCATCTTCGTGTACACACTGCTTTGCAAAAATAAGTTTAGTGGAAAATGAAGGATTCAAGATGTTTAAATTTACTCCTGTTTTTTCATGACGCTTACTGCAAGATTCACCAAGTATGATCAGTGCACAACAGCACTTCACAGTTAAATGTTGGCTAGACAAGCAGGGCCCACAGAGTACCTACAGTTTGATTTTAGCTTCTGCAGAGAAGGAGCTTCAGCACTAGATAAAATATTAAGATGGCACTGAGAGATTAGGAAATTTACAGGAATCTGAGTGCAGAACATAAAACGCAAACATCATATAAACCAGCTAAACTGAAGGTTTAGATAAATTCACACTACTACTAGGAGCAAAGCTCTCGCTCCTCTGCTGCCCCCATCCCTGGTACATCCCTGGAAGCAGGTGCTTCCTTCCCCTCCACCATCCCAGCACCTGTCAGACTCTTCCAGGAGGACAGTGACATACCTGGCTTAGTCAGAAACTACTTTTTGTTTTGTGGAGGTTTTTCCCAGTCATTAGGATGAAATGGATAAAAGTGCAGTGATGGGGCAATTCCACCACTGCAAAGCCTTAAAAAACAATCCACCAAGGGTGTAAATCCCTTTGTGAGTTTAATTTCTATTTTTCAATGCATAGCAATAGCTATGCAATGTAAAGCTGTATCAGTTTTAAAACAGAAAAGAGATCTACTTCAAAAGCATCTCACATTAAAAATATTAATCATTAACCACTCCCACACAATTACTTAAGCAAACAGAAGAAAGGATGTATTTTAAGATACATATAGTTGAG